GGGTGTGCCGGGATGGCGTCGCTGCGCTCTGTCCTTCTTCGCACAGGTGCGACGCAAGTTGAATGACAAGAAGAATACGCGTGTATATATCCTGGCACCCGCATTGATTGTATACGCTGTGCAGGCATTCAGTCATGCTGGCTCAGCTTCTCTTCTCACTCGGACGGATCGGGTATAGGGGTCTACCATACGCGGACCTTCAATACCGCTAATACATCACGGTGAGTCACCTAAGCTCCAAGAAACCGCGCTCACTCCGCTAGGGTTACACTACATCCGTCGCACAGCCTGGCTCGGGCTAGGTGCAGTACATACGTACGTATCTTTCTCCCGCGCGGGAAAAAGAGGTAAGCCGAACGCGCTCGACGAACATTTTGCGCTGCTCTGGTTTACCTACTACTCTCGCTCGGAAAATATCGCCTTATTATCACTTTCGTCCAGCCTGCTATCTCTTTTTTACTCTTTGCTTGTTTTGCAGTCTCACTACCATCTTTTGGCCCGCTGCGGTAGGTATTTCCCCGGTAAACAGAAAACACATGAGCGCATGTAGACTTATTTCGGTTTTGATCCGTTTCCGTTTTACTAGTTTTCAATGACGGCACATTCACACCAAGTCGCGTCACCGGCCGAATAGATGCCGATGTTGCTCAGTAATAATACATCACCCACCTATATAATCAATAATCAATATACCTACCTGTATATCCTCATATATATACTATATTTATACTATATATATGATTCTGATCCGATAAATGCCCGCCATGGATGGATGCGCATCCGCCGATGGATGGATGGATGGATGGATGGATCCCGGCATCGGATGGATGGACTCGGACCCTGCAATGAATGGCATTGAAATGGATGCATCCCCGATGCGATCGGATGGATGGATGGATGGCATGGATGGCTGGATGGATGGATGGACTCCGACCTGGCCATGGCCCCCATGGCATGGATGGATAGATGCGATGGGATGGATGGACCTGGATGGATGGCACCTGGCCATGCCGCATCGCCCCGATGGCATGGACTGCTTTTATTATTGGATCGTTTGTTCAGATCTCAAAACTCGAGAAAACTCGAGAAAAGAAGCACGCGTTGTTTTTTGGGCTTATTGATTTATTATTATATAATATCCGTGTGTATATAATTATTTATTCCTTGTCTTTTTATTGTAGAAACGAGCAAATAGTATAGGCATGATATAACGCTAGCTAGCATGCACGCACGCTCGCGCGCACACACACACACACGCGCGCGAGCACACACACGCGGACACACACACACGCACGCACGCACGCACGCACGCACGCACGCACGCACGCATGCATGCACGCACGCACGCACGCACGCATGCACGCACGCACGCACGCACGCATGCATGCACGCACGCACGCACGCACGCATGCACGCACGCACGCACGCACGCACACACACACACACATATATATATATCACCAGTAAATAATTTCAAATAATATACATTATATGTATACATTATATATATATATATATATATTTATTTATTTATTTATTTATTTATTTATATATACACATGCGGCCCACCTTGTCACCGACAAAGAATCCATTGCCGTCGTCATTCATCTTAAGACGCTCCTGCAGTAAGGTCATGAATCCAGGAATAATCTTCGTAATGGCTAATTCTTGCAGCTTCTCCTGTATAAAACGTGAAGTTACTAACTAAGTTAATATAAAACAAAATATATTACTAATTAGCAAACATTATTTGTGCAATAACGTTAGCCACGCGCGACAGTAGTGTTTCTTCAGCGGATTTACCGTCAGTGTCCCCACCACCGTCGGCAGTAAAGAACCCACCCGACAAACAGTACTTTGGGTTAGAAAATTTAAATCTAGATAGTATTTGGCGCGTGTCTATGCGATTTTTCACTATTTGGCAGGCGTTGTCCCTACGGCCGGGGAAGCGGGAGGGGAAGCGGGAAGAGAAGCGGGAAGGGAAGCGGGGAAGCGGGAGGGGAAGCGGGAGGGGAAGCGGGAAGAGAAGCGGGAGGGGAAGCGGGAGGGGAAGCAGGAAGGGAAGCGGGAAGAGAAGCGGGAGGGGAAGCGGGGAAGCGGGAGGGGAAGCGGGGCAGCGGGAGGGGGAGCGGGA